TCATTATTATTATTATTATCATTATCATTATTATCATCATCATTGATAATATTATCATTGTCATTAATATCATCATCATTATTACTTTTATTTTATTTTTTATCAGCATTATCATCGTCATCATCATCATTATTATTACTTTTATTACTACTCTTTTTTCGTCTTTTTAGTTACGGTTATCATGAATTACAACACGTTCGTGCCTGAATTCCCAAGGCTGAACTTTTTTTTTCTTCTTCAGATGGTGTCTTTTGTAAATGTTTAGTTTTTTTAAAGTTTATTTAAAATGTACTCACTCTTGGTAATATATTTTCGGTGTCGAGTGGCGCGTTTGACATTTTCTTAAAAAAAAAAAAAAAAAAAAAAAAAAAAAACGTATTTTATTTTCAGAGCATGAAGCTGAGTATTATTTTTGCGTTGAAGAAAGCACTGTGAATTGTATTTCCTTGCTCTGTACTTTCATTGGTCATTTTTAAATAAAAGATAACTGAAGGTTGTCCAAAAACGAAAATGTTCAATGGGTCATGATGTGAATCTCTCTCTCTCTCTCTCTCTCTCTCTCTCTCTCTCTCTCTCATCTCCTCTCTCTCTCTCTCTCTCTCTCTCTCTCTCTCTCTCTCTCTCTCTCTCTCTCTCTCTCTCTCTGTCACTCACACACACACACACACACACACACACACACACACACACACACACACACACACACACACACACACACACCACACACACATATATATATATATATATATATATATATATATATATAGTATATATATATATATATATATATTATATATATATATATATATATATATATATATATATATATATATATATATATGAATATATAATCCACATTCAAAAAAAAAAACATCCATTATCATCTCAAATATGTTGTTATAATAATCTAAATGTTATAAAAGCTATCAAAACACACAGGAACTGACATTGAAATAACATCAACACAACTACGAGATCCATTGTCGTTCTGGGATTTTGTTTTAGAAATTATTATGAAGTCTAGACCGTGTAGAGAGGAAACTCACACAATAATTTACGGTATAATCTAACTCTGACTTTACGGAGGGCGTGTCCCAAGTGTTTTTATGTTCTAATTCAATGTCATATCTTTATTTTTCTGCCTTGAAAAACCGACGAATTTTCCGTAATTGAAAAAAAAAAACGAGAGGAAAAGCGTAAGTTTGACATCGTTAAGTAATGAGGGTTGGAAAAGGTACAAGAGGAACTTTATTTAGCTCTATTTAGAACAACTCTAGCTAAAGTAAAAGTCAAATGAGCAATATACATGCACGAAAAGACACATGGAAGGAGTACAAGAGAATATTATATGGTCGCGAACTCTCCTTAGAACAATAGCTAAAGTAAAGGTCAAATCAGCAATATACATGCACGAAAAGACACATGGAAGGAGTACAAGAGAATATTATACGGTCGCGAACTCTCCTTAGAACAACAGCTAAAGTAAAGGTCAAATCAGCAATATACATGTACGAAAAGACACACGGAAGGAGTACAAGAGAATATTATATGGTCGCGAACTCTCCTTAGAACAATAGCTAAAGTAAAAGGTCAAATGAGCAATATACATGGACGAAAAGACACATGGAAGGAGTACAAGAGAATATTTTCCTTCCAGGAGTCTTTTTCAGTGTCGTATGGCTCTCCTTCGTTCATCGCCCGAGACGCTGCTATCGGACTTGTCTTGTCTTACGAATAAACAGGCGATTTATTGAAGTCCGAGAGAAGTACCAAGCGGACATCGAGGGGAATCTTGATAACAGTAATTGGGAACATTTAGTGATGTCTGTTTAGTCCAGTCTTTAAAAAATATATATACAGCTAAATTTAATCACCTTTAAAAAAACAGATTATATATAATACAGTCTCTTTCTCTCTCTCTCTCTCTCTCTCTCTCTCTCTCTCTCTACTCTCTCTCTGTTTCTCTCGTCTCCTCTCTCTCTCTCTCTCTCTAAAAAATATATATTATATAATATATATATATATATATATAGTATATATATATATGTTGGTGGTGTGTGTTGTTGTGTTGTCTGTGTGTGTGTTGTGGTGTGGTGTGTGTGTGTGTGGTGTGTGTGTGTGTGGTAATCACTCCTAAAAAAAAAAAACAACATACACTAAAAAAAAAAAAAAAAAAAAAAAAAAACAGATATATATAATCATTCTGTAAAAGCAGGAAGAGAGACACGAAAGTTAATGAACGTTGGTTAAGCAGAGCATAATCTCAAGTCACGTACAGTCAAGACTCCAGACAAAAGACCACGATAACAGACAGACGCCTCGGTGGAAGGAGGGGGCGGCTAGGAGGGAAGGAGGGAGGAAGTTGCGTGGGGCAGGGGAAGGGAAGGGGGGGGAAGAAGGAGGGAAGGGAAGGGGGAAAGGAAAGGAGGGAAGGGAAGGGGGAAGGAGGGAGGGAAAGGGTAAGGGGGGAACGGAGAGAGGGAAGGGGAAGGGGGTGAAGGAGGGAGGAAGGGGATCAGGGGGGAAAGTGAAGGAGGGAAGGGACGGGAGAGGGTAGGTAGGTAATAGGAGGAGAGGAGGAAGACGGTAGTATGCGTCGGTAGGGAAGGGGGAGGGGATGGGAAAGGAAACAGGGAGGGAGGAAGCATCGGTAGACCGTTAAGAAGGAGAGAGAGGAGATATGTGAAAGGAGTGGGGAGGGGAAGACAGACTGCCTGAGGGAGGAAAAGAACATCATAAGTTCGGAGAAGAAGGGAGAGAGGAGATCAGTGAAGGAGTAGGGAGACAAGAACAGACTGTCCTGAGGGAGGAAAAGAGCATCGTAGACGTCGAGAAGAAGGGAAGAGAGGAGATAGTGAGGAGTGGGGAGAATACAGACTGCCTGAGGATGGCACAGAACATCATAGACGTCTTGAGAAAGGGAGAGAGAGATAATCGAAGGAAGTGAGGGAGAAAACAGACTGTCCTGAGGGGAGGAAAAAGAGCATCGTAGACGTTGAGAAGAAGGGAGAAGAAGGAGATAGTGAAGGAGTCGAGGGAGAAACAGACTGCCTGAGGGGAGGAAAAGAGCAATCTATAGACGTTGAGAAAGAAAGGGAGGAGGAGAATAGTGAAGGAGTGAGGGAAAACAGACTGTTCCTGAGGGAGGAAAACGAGATCATAGACGTTGAGAAGAAGGGAAGAGAGGAGAATAGGAAGGAGTGAGGGAGAAACAGATGCCTAGGGAGGAAAAGAGCATCGTAGACGTTGAGAAGAGGGAGAAGAGGAGATAGGTGAAGGAGTGAGGGAGAAACAGACTGCCTGAGGGAGAAAATAGAACATTCATATGGACGTTGAGAAGAAGGGAGAGAGGAGATGAGTGAAAGCGAGTGAGGGCGTAAAACAGACTGCTGAGGGAGGAAATCGAGCATTCAATAGACTTGAGAAGAAGGGACGAGAGGAGATAGTGAAAGGAGTGAGGCGAAGAAGACAGATCTGCAAGCTGAGGGAGGAAAAAACGAGCATGTGGACGTTGAGAAGAAGGGAGAGAGGAGATAGTGAAGGAGTGAGGGAGAAACATGACAGGGGGTGCCTGAGGGAGAAAAGAGCAACTCAAAAATTAAACGACGTTGAGAAAGAAGGGAGAGAGAAGGAGATCAGCGAAGGAGTGGAAGGGAGAAACACGACTGCCTGAGGCGAGGAAAATGAGCATCATAGACCGTTGAGAAGAAAGGGAAGAGAGAGATAGTGGAAGGAGTGGAGGGAGATACAACTGCCTGAGGGAGCAAAAGCGCCATCAAATAGAGCGTCGAGAAGACGGGAAGAGAGGAGGAGGTAGTGAAGGAGTGAAGATAACAGGACTGCTGAGGGAGGAAAAGAATGCATTCGGCGGACGTTGAGAAGAAGGGAGAGAGAAGGAGATAGCGAAGGAGCGAGGGAGAAACAGACTGCCTGAGGAATAAAATACCATCGTAGAGGAAACGAATTGACGGAGCAGGCAAGAAAAGAGAGAGGGGTTATAGCATCGCAAGGGAATAAGAGACAAGGAAAAGAGAAAGGAAGGAGGGAAGAAGAAAGAGGGGAGGAGTAGGAGGACTCAACAGCGAGAAACCTTATGTGGGACGTAGACTCCTGGGATCTTGAGGTTAAGTGGCTAAAGGACACAGACCGAGAACTCTGCCACAGACGCTGCTTTTGATATCTACACTTGTGGAAGTTGTCGGAGATTACCTGATACTCTGAGAGGGAGGGGGAGAGGAGAAGGAGAAGAGAGGTAGAGAGATATAAATGAGAAAGGCACGGTTGTTGATTATCAGACCGTCACAAAACACACCTGCACAACA